CTGAATAATGGTCCTCGAAATTAATCAAATCTTGGAACAAATACTGATACTTTATCAATAACTGAGAGGGATATTACACATCCTATTACATTGTCTCTTCAACCTAGTTGACATAGAGAACAACATGACACATCACACTGAAATTTTATCATCCTAATACTTCTTATGGGTATCATGATCAAACACATAGTACCCAAAAAAAGTCTTATTAGGTACGATGGGCACCTTTTGTGTCGAACACATATTCAACTCATTTTTACCACAACAACTTCAAAAGCGCAGTCAATCCAGATTATTCAGTCCATTCAACTTAATAATTTCCATCAGACATTTCAATGATAGATTCAAAATTCTACTCAACCTAGAGAAATATATAGAACAGGAATATAAAACAACAAGATCACATTTGTGAACTAAATTAACATGGCTTTTAATTAATTTAGCTCCCACTATTTTCATATACTCTATGACCCCTTCAGAGGAGTATGGACTCATATCAAATATAGTCATAGTGAGCCAAGATCCACATCCATCCTATTATAGTCCTAGCTAGGGCTGATCACTATAATGGATGTAGTGGTAGGTCTCTAAACCAATTGTAAACAATTACAACTCTTGTTGATCAAATCTAATTTAATCGACGTCCTTCGTTCATTCCGACGCTAGGGCGACAAGAATTAGCTAAGGAAGTCAAAACCATCACACGATCACAAACATATGTATCTATGAATGAGTCTGAGCCTCATAGACCTAAGCAAACACTAGGGTATAAATACTTTTGGACGAAGAGGTTTTTGCACTTTCAATTGTGATGGGTGACGTTATGCATCCAAGATGAGACTTATATTTATTAGGGGAACATTTGGAACGAGATATTAAATATCTAATATTCAAACAAGATCCAACTAATAACACATATCGGGCGCCGCCTACTCGAGCATAATATAACACGGTCCGACAAATACTGGGCGCCGCCTACCTAAACAATATATCACGCGGCCTACCCAGATAATATAATCGCGGACGCTAACTACAATAAATCAACTATTTAATTTATTTCAGTTAAACAAATAAGAGCAAATAATCCAATTATCATGCATTTATTATATTCCAATCACATAAGTTAATAACAATGTATTCAAAATACATATATATAAGTAATCTAATTACCCATGTATGCAGTCAAAATACATACAAGTAATCTAATTACACATGCATTTATGTGGTTCTAAACACACATAATAATGATGTATTCAAAATACATAAGCCAAGCAAATTCATGGATCAAAATAAAGTGCTAAAATATTCATCAAAATTTCTAAAATTTTGATTTGCTAAACAAGCTCGAAGCTTCGTTTTGTTCATTAAATATTTCAAAAATATTTAAGAGGCCTTGGACAACAATTTTAGTTTGAAATATGCCCCAAGGGCTAATTTCAATTTTAGGGATTTTTCAGAAATTTGAAACAAGCAAAAATAACTATTATTTGAGTGTTTTCAAAAATCTGAATTTTCTAATCAGCCAAACAGGGCCTTAGCAATTTTGAAAATAACAAACAGGCCTTAATATTTTTCAGAAATTACAAACTGGCCTCAGAACCTTTTCAGAATCGCAAATTGACCCCAGAGGTCAAATTGCAATAAACCAAAGATTCTGAAATTGTGAATGAGCCCCTAACTTCTATTGAATTTTCCAACACAGGTCCCCAGCCCCAAAATTGTTTTCAGTCATTCTCTTCCTCGCTCATCGCCCATCTCCCGCCGACGCCCTCTCGCCGGAGTCCTCCACAGCGGTCAAACTGCCGTAAGTGATTTTTTGTTTTTTGTTTTTAGTCCGCCATTAATGGCGGACGAGCTCGAAGCTCGATTTTTAGGTTTCCAGCGATAAGGAATCACCTCCAGGGATGAACAGCTGGAGCGGGCGAAAACGAGCGGTAGCAACCGACGAGGACGAGCCAGCAACCGGCGAGCACAAACGGCAACAGCCTAGCGAGACGGCCGCGACCCTAGGCCGCACAAGAATCCGGCGTCCAGACTCAGTGGAGACAATCGCCGTGATGTTCGAGAATAGGAGATCGGAGACGGCGAGTGGTTCAATTCCCAGAATTGATTGGAATTGAACAAAACGAAATTCATGTACAGGTTTGAACTAAACGATTCCAAATCGTTTCTTAAGCTTTTCTTTTAAAAATAAATCCCAGATTTAGATCGAACAAAACCAAATTGAATTGTGAGACGGTTCTTGCGGGGATTCCAAACCCAAGAATTTGAGTGCAGTTCCAACGTTTACGATTCCAAATCAGATTTCGTCATTCAGTCGCAAAAATTCCAAATCCCAGATATGAATAGAAGAAAAATAATTCTTAATTATTTTTTCTTAATTTTAATTAAAACACACCGTGTACGGGGATTGCAAATTCCTAGAATCGCAAACACCTCCTAGAATTTACCAACATATAGATTCTCTCCAATGGGAGCTTCGATTCTCTCCAATGGGAGTCATACGATAAATTCCTTCGGTGAAGGGTACCAGTCGAGCAGGTAGTAGGTAAGGCAATTACTTCCAGATTTTGCTAATTAGATGTTTGGCCTCTTTACATTTACCTAATTGCTGTCTAGGGTTTTCTTCCCCCTTTTCCCCCCTTTTTGCATTTGTGGCTTTTCTTTCTCCTCTCGCCTTGTGCAGATTCTTACTGTCACAAATTCTCTGATTTCCTCGGTCTTATCATGGAGAACTTGGAGAACTAGCTCCGATCTTTCTCCTTATCTTCCAAAGAAGCTAATATCACCCCTATCCAAGACGTGGACATCCGAATCAGTGCTGATGAATGCAACAGAAGCCTATTTGGTAAAATATTTGGAGACCGTAAAGCTGGCATTTTTGGGCTTAAGAGAACTATCTCACGTATTTGGAATATCAGGAAGGTGCTCACAGTACGAGAACTGGACAACAACATCTTCCAGTTTCTCTTTGAGGATTTGGCCGATAAAACTAAAGTGGCAGCGGGAAAGAATTGGTCCTTTGAAAACCAATATCTCCTCCTACGAGATTGGGAAGAGGACATCAATGCCAACCACCCTTCATTCAAAGAACTGGACATCTGGGTTCAAGTAGAAGATTGATAGGTCGAAAAATGTGCACGTTTTATATATATAATAGTGTATTTTTATACAACTAATTTATTTGCACATTTATATTTTTCGACTTATTTATTATTAGGATGGATTCATATACATTGATATTTTTATGTTTATTTTCAGAATATTAGAGTGTGTTATGGACGACACATCATTGGACAGTTGACGTGATCAATTATCGGGCCTTCCCAATACCCGTCAATTTAGCTCCAAATGCAGCATACATTTTGGAATCGACTTATATAACAAATAATTCATGGCTTGGAAGTGTGTGGCCCAAAATTAATTTGAGTCTTGAGGATTATTTGGAAAAAAAGAAAATTACTTGCGCAGAGGATAATACTGAAGAGTTTTAATTGAAGCCAACACATTAGAGTGGCATGATTTAATTGGAGGGAGATTTATTTGAGCGAGGATTTTTTTGGACGGGGTCATAACTTTACGTGGAAGAAAAAGAGAAACTCACGCAGCCGTTGAAAAAGAAAAGATACGCACGGACTGGAGAAAAGAGCATCACACGCGGAGGGAAGCCGCACTCGCACACGAGGGAGATTATATTTCTCTCTTTTATCTTTTTATTTATTTTTATTAGTATGTTAGACTAGTATTTTTATCCAGTTTTAGGGGATGTTTGAATCCTAACTTGAATTTGTCTATGAATTGAAGGACTTTTATTTATCGTTGATTAATCTAGACGTCGTATTTATTTTTGTGGATGAGTTGATTCATGTTATCTGTTTATAACGTTTATGAATTATGGTGTTTGATTTAGTTTGGCCAGCTAGGTTGAATATTCATAGTTTAATTGCTAGATTCGAGACTTTAATCCGTAATTGTTATTGTCTCGTTTCGTTAGTAGTAAACTAGGGGTCGTGCATCCTTAGGGTAGTGTTAGCATAAGTTAAATGGTCCGAGCTTTTGCGTCCATTACTTAGACTGATCTATTTTTCTAGAAATTAATGCTGTTAGTGCACTAAATCTAGAGAGCTTATTCTAGGTTGTCCACTAGTTAGGTTTAATCGAAGAGCTTATTTCAATTAAATATTCGGTAAGGAAAAATTCGGTTAACAGAGCTTGTTGTTAGCCAGGGTCGGTAATTCATTAGCAATTTAAAGAAGGTGTGGAAATTAATTAACAGTAGATTTAGATTGGGTGATAACTGAACCGAAAACTGGACTTCTCTCATTTTATTTAATTTTTATTTTATTTTATTATTTTTATTTTTATTTTTATTAAACCAATCCCCACACCTTTATTGCTTTCTTAGTTTAGTTCAATTAATACGAAATTATCACGATTTAATTCCTGCTCCTCGTGGGATCGACCTTTACTCGCCGCTACTACTAGTTAGTAGAGGTTTGTTAAGGAAAAGTTATAAATTTAAATTTGCCGCGTCGCGACGCGCGGTCAAAGATGTCCCATTGCACTGGCTTTGCGAGGATGTGGGTCTCAAAATAGGCAAAGTCTTCAAGAAAGTTAAAGATGTTATCATTGGCGACTCAAGCTTAACCCCTGGGAGATGCATAAAGATGTTAGTCACTATTAACCTAGAAGAACCTATCCTAAAGTGCACTACTATTCAATTCAGGGACAAAGTTCAGAGAGTTAACTTCAGGTACGAAAAGCTTATAAACCTCTGTTACTATTGTGGCATGATCGGCACCTGGATAAATCTTGCAAGATCAGAGCTGTGGATATTGAGAAAGGTAACCTTAATGTTGGCCAATTCGGAGAATGGCTCAAAGCAGCAGAAACACCTATTCATAGAACCAGACTTGCCCCATCACCAGAGAGCTCTCCTAATACCCCATCCTCATCCCAGAAAAACTCTTTCAATCCTAACCCTCCCTCAGGTAGTGAATCTAAAGCCTCATTAAACAGCCTACTCCAGGTAATCCCTGCCCCAACTCTTCCAAACATCCCAGGAAACTCCACTTCTCCTGTCAATACCCAAATCAGATTAAACAGAAACAACTTCCCCTAACAGTTCCTACCTTTCCTAAGCTACCAGAACCTTCTGATCCTACACCAATGCTACTGATAGCAGACCAAGACTCTGACCTGCAACCACCTGTGCCTTGTATCATCCCCCTAAACTCAGTTCCCCCTCCGTAAACTTCAGCTCCAGGGAATAACATAGACTTTGACAACATGCCTCTCATGAATATCATTTCACAAACCAGCAGTGGCAAACAACAAAAGAAATGGACTAGGAAAAATAAAACAGCTCAGAAAGAAACCAAGCCTCAACCAAATAACCAAACTCCAGCTAACAGCCAAAAACTTAAAAGGGAGAGAGTGCACTCAGGGAACCTTGATGACTCTAAGCGCATCCAAGAGCCAGAAGTTCAAACCCAGAAAAAGCAAAAGCAAGGTAGCCCAAACACAATCTCAGAGAAGGTAGAGGCAGCCAGCCGCAGAGTGGCTCCCAACCCCCAAATGAAGACATGGGTGTGGAACTGTAGAGGTCTGAGAGGACCCTCTACAGTTTCCCAGTTAAAGGAAGCTCTAAAGCTCCATCTCCCCCGGTTTGCTTTTATCAGTGAAACAAGGCAAACTAGTACTTTTGTTCTCTCAGTGTGTAAGAAATTGGGTTTTTCGGACAGAAACAAGATTGTGGATCCTGTAGGGAAAAGTGGTGGTCTGCTCCTACTGTGGGACAAGGGTATCACTATTCATCAAACAGTGACTAACAGATTTTGCATTGAGGTGGAGTATAGCCACACCTCGGAACCAAACTCAGCTTGGATTATTTTTGTCTACCTCAGCACCAACTAAAGGGAAAGAGAAGAACAAAGGAGATACCTGGAACAAGCCAAAAGCAATTGGGGTGACACATGGTTGATAGGAGGGGACTGGAATGATATCTGCAGTAATGAAGAGAAGTTAGGAGGAAGAATTAGATCAGAAACTAGCTTCTGGAATTTTAAAACCTTCATAGCTAACATGAGCATGCAAGAAATTCCCCTGATTGGCCATCAGTTCACATGGTGGAATTGTAGAATAAGCTCTGAGAGTATAGAGGAAAAATTGGACAAGTTCTTTGCCTCCCTTAACTGGCTCTCAACCTACCCAAATGCTTCTGCCACAAACTACCTCAGGAGCTCTTCGGACCACAGCCTCATTGCCCTTCATGATGGCAACAGTAATGTCACCAAAAAAAAGAGATTCTTCTTTGATAAACGTTGGCTGCTTAGAGAAGGCATCAGTGACACAATCCAGCAAGCCTGGAGTGGGTTCCACCAGGGACATCCAATGCTCCAATTCCAGAGGAAAATTGCTTCTACTAGAATTGCCCTACTCAAGTGGAGTAGAAGCTTTAAAGCAGACACTGACAAGAAACTCAAAGAAGCTAACTGACAGATGGAAGAGCTGAGAGCCTGTGGAAATGATAAAGACTGGGGCAAATGGAACCAACTGAAGCAAACCATTGATCTAATTACCAAATCAGAGGAATCCTACTGGAGGCAGAAATCAAGGCTGCAATGGTTAAAAGAGGGTGATAAAATTACCCGTTTCTTCCATGCTTTCACAACCCAGAGGAGAAAGACCAATGCTATCAGCAGACTTGTTAGGGGAGATGGTTTCATATGTGACACCAAAGCTGATATTGAGAATTGCATTTCAAGTTTCTACTCCCAGCTTTTCACCTCTGAATGTTTGGACCCCGATGTTGAAGGTCCAATATATGATTGCATTCAGCCTTCCATCACTGATTCTATGAACTCCAGCCTCACTGCACCAGTTGATGAAGAGGAAATCAAGAGAATTTTAGACAGTATGAATCCAAACAAAGCAGCAGGCCATGACGGTATGTCCCCACTCTTCTTTCAAAAATTTTGGTGTACTATTAAACATGATCTCTGCAAGGCTATATTAAGCTTTTTCAACACTGGTTTTTTTTTTATCTAAATCTTGGAATCACACTTTCACTACCCTTTTTCCTAAAATTCAAAACCCATCCAAAGTGGAGCATTTTCGACCCATCAGTTTGTGTTGTGTTGCATATAAAATTATTTCCAAGATCCTAGCTTCCAGAATTAAAAACTGCCTCTCTGTTTGCATTAGTGATAACCAAGCAGCCTTTATCCCTGATAGACAGCTTTTAGATAATGTTGTTATTGCTCAAGAGGCCATTCATTACTTAAACAGGCATAAATATGGTAATAATTGCTTTATGACTCTTAAGCTTGATATGGAAAAAGCCTTTGATAGAATTGAATGGTCTTGTATTAAAGCTGTCATGACTAAAATGGGATTTCACTTGACTTTTATAAACTGGATTATGGCCTGTATTACATCCTCTAGCTTCTCCTTCAATATCAATGGCAAAAAATGTGGAAATGTCTCTCCCTCAAGGGGCCTGAGGCAGGGTGACCCAATTTCCCCATACCTCTTCATCATTGCCTCTGAACTTTTCTCCTGCCTCATAAACAAATCTGTTGCCCAGATTTCCCTGAAAGGCATAAAGCTATCCCATTCTGGCCCCTCTTTAACCCATCTCTTCTTTGCAGATGACACCCTACTTTTCAGCCAAGCCTCACCCCAACAAACTTTGGAAATCCTAAACATTCTGCACCTGTATCATCTTTGCTCTGGGCAAAAAATAAACCTTTCCAAATCCTCTATTTTCTTCAGCAAAAACTCACCTCCCTCTGTAAAAGCTACCACATGCTCTTTGATGAATGACATCTAGATAACAGCTTCTACCAAATACCTAGGGCTCCCTCTTGGTATAGGCTGCTCTAAAAAAGATACATTTAACTTTGTTGTTGAAGTGGTGAAAAACAGGATTTTAAGTTGGAAAAACAAGTTCTTATCCACTGCAGGTAAAGAAGTACTGATAAAGGCTGTTTTGACTGCCTTGCCAAACTTTGTGATGTTATGCTTTCTACTACCTGCTGGAATTTGTGTTGAAATCTCAAAACTGATGTCAAACTTCTGATGGTCCAAAGGAGGGAATCAAGAGAAAGGATTGCACTGGAAGCAATGGAACCACATTTCACTCCCCACTGATGAGGGTGGCTTAGGTTTCACTGACCTAAAGCTGTTCAACAAGGCTCTTATCATTAAAAAATTATGGAGAGTTCATACCAAGCCACATCTTCTAATGAGCAGAATTTTAAAACAGAAATATTTTCCAAACTGCTCCTTTATGGACATTGAACCTTCTCAAACTTGCTCATGGCTATGGAGATGTTGGATGAATGTCTGCCCTTTATTTAAACAGGTACTTTTGGTGATTATCAAGGATGACATGGACACTAAAATCCGGGACAACCCTTGGGTTCCAGATATCCCAACTCACAAGCCAATCAGTAGAGATAGCCTACCTGATTCCTCACTCACTTGGGTGGCAGAGCTGTTTATTCAAGGCACTGAATTCTGGAATGAAGGACTCCTCAGACAAACTTTCAGAGTTGAGGACTGTGAAGCCATCCTAAAAATCAGAACAATGAACAGGTTTCAGAAAGACAGACTGGCATGGAAATTTAGCAGAAAAAGGAACTTCATAGTGGCCTCCTCCTATGAAGTTCTCCTGAATAGCAAAATTATGGGCTTGGATTTTCCTGAATCTAGTAGTCAAGCCTCTTGGATCAAAAAGGTTAGAAATATAAGCTGGAAGATCAGAACCAAGAGGAAGATCAAACACTTCATCTGGAAGTGTTTCTCTGGGATCCTCCCCACACAGAACAACCTTAACAAGAGAGGGATGAAGCTGGAAAATGTTTGCAAAGCATGTGGTGAGGAAGAGGAGAGCACTGAGCATCTGCTATTCAACCGCCCTAGAGCCAGAATGGTTTGGAAGCTTGCCCCTGCAAGCTAGAAAAATTTGGAAAGCAGCATTCCTTGCTTCAAATACTGGTGGAAGGAAATCTGCTTAATGCATATGAACAAGGAAGCTGTGGAAAGGATCCAGCTAACCACCTACATCCTATGGTGGTTGTGGAAAGCTAGGAACCTTTGGGTCTTCAAACACCAAAGGCTCACTGAGAAAGCCATTGTGGATGCAGCTTGCTCTGAATGGCTTGAATTCTCTTGTGGACTCTGGTTGTTTGTAACCTCTTTGAGACTTTTATTTTAATGCAATTCTTCGTTTCGAAAAAAAAAATATTAATAGATTTTGATCCATATAAATCTAATTTAAATCAAATAGCTATGAACACCGACCCGATGCTCTGATACCACTGTTGGATTTTAGACGTACGAACCTAGCGTACACGCAGCGGAATTTTAAAATTTTCTTACCAACGCAATGAATCATTTCTGGTGAAGACGTTAGGAACCCTCAATCAGAAAGCCAGAGAGTGTTTTGTTCTTACGACGTATTTTTTTTCTCTCATCTAATGATCGTTGAAGACTACCATGAGATAATGACCTATTTATAATTAGGTTAAACCTCATTATATGGGCTTTAGGATAGCCTAGCCCAATAGGTAATTGGACCCAATCCAATTAATGATTTAATTAAGTGTAAGTCCAATTTAACTTAATTAAATATTTCTATATAATAGAAAATAATCTCATTACTCAAAAATAAATATTCCAATTTAATTGAATATTTAACACTCTTGATTCACTCTTAGCCGGAAACTAGATTGCATATTGTGTGACCCTATAGGCCTTCATATATTGACATAAATCTAATTTATGATCCTTACAAAACTTCTAGACTGCGTCGAAGGACGAACTCAAAATATGAAGTACGTTTACATAGACAAAGCAAACAAACCTTTGGTGTAGAATTCAATAGTGATACAGTCCCTTCATTCACGAACCACTCGATTACGCTTAGGATTTGAGCGTGTGTCTATCCAAACAGCTTAATCATTTTATCTCATCTCACTAGTTGATTTTATCGATTATATTTGAACACCATTTCAAATATAATCACGTGCATTGACCAATGACTTTATCAACCCAGTATAGAGAAAACGAGTATCCTCTCGAAACTATATTCGAGGAATGAATCCTATCTTGGCTCAACTACCAATTCCATGTATATCGTGATCAACCCAACACAAGCCCGTATCTATCCATAAGGGCGTAAGCTTTGGACTAGGTCTAAGTAAATCACTCTATACATGAATTGCGTATTGACCTCAAGTCAAAGGACTATTACACCATTCCATACACCGATACTCCCATAGACACATAAACAAATAGTTTATCGGTAGGGTATACCAATACTCTCCAAATTATCCATGCGTCCATCACGAATAACAATTATTTATAGCAGTGAGACATACTATATTCTCCAAGAATGTGATGCAGACCACATCTCAATCTATTGCGTATCATTAATATCCCTTTCTTAATGATCATCGATTGAGGCGATTTGAGAGTTATACTTTAACAATTATCATCTCACTCTTGTTAATGACAGTATCAACTCAAGAGAGCAATTAATTAATAAATTGCAAACAATCAAACAATTATTTAATTAATTGCAGTACCATAATTATAATCCAATGTAAATATGAATGTGATCATGTATATATGTCCTCAAAAAGATTGTCTCTAGGACACATATACCAACATCAAGAAGGTGCTGATACATTGGAATTAGTGGAAATTGCTGATATCTAGGCACCACAGCTCTACAAGCAAAAGACAGGAGGAAAAAATGAGAGAAACGAAGAAGGGTAATCCCAGGCCAATTTTTTTTTCTTTTAAAATAAAGAGATCAATAGTGTTTCCGTTTCTCTTCTTCGGTGACTCAAACTCATGAACTATCGGTTATAGGTGAAGCGTCTTACCACTCAAGCTGCGCTTCGTTGTTAATCATAGGCCAAGTTTTGTTCTTTCTCTATTACAAGTGGCCTACTTCGTGTGAATCGTACATTTACTTGGTTTAATCTGGGCCAAGATGCAGTAAACTAAATGAAGAAACATAATAAACTTCTTTTCAAATTCATGGAATATGTTATGAACCATTATGAACCACACAAATAATATCTGTACATGTGAATGACTATTTTTCCCTCGATGCATTTGTATTATTACGTGTTGTGCCATCAGAAGTTTCCTATAAATAGGTGTTTCAGTTATAATGAAAACCGCACCTAAGAGAATACATTTTCTCTATTCTCTCTCTTTCTCTAGATTTATAACACGTTATCAGCATGATTCTCTACCCTCTAGAGCCCGATTTGTAATATGCCGAGAGTATGCTCTAAAGTTGCCTCTTACAGACGATCTTCTGTATCAGAAATCCAATTATTACTAATCGTTCTTCTCTTGAATCAACTTCTTATGCAAGAACTTTCAATTTTCTCTTTCTTTTATTATAATCATTTTCATCACATTTTTTCGGCCATGGAATCCTAAGAACAACCACCATTAGATGAAAAATAATAATGGTAATAATAATTCTCTCAATTTGAATCCCATTTTGTGGGAATCTAAAGAAAAAACAAAAAAAAAACGAGTAATTCATAATTAAGAGGTTCGGAGGTGCAATGACACCACCCATCCACCGTCGAACACTCGACATTTGCCGTGTCCTAGCAAGCATGGCCGCTAGATTTTCAATAGCCAATAGCAAAAAGGTTGCGCAACCATCGACCTCCTCCAGTCTCCGTCCGCCCGAGCCCAGGACTGTAGAGCCCACCGATTGTCTGCTCCCGCTGGACAGCACTCCGGTCAGCCACCAATTTTGAGATTTGAGCCTCGTGCATCGCGCTGCCACTTGTAGCCCAACTGAATCTAGCCTCCTCGGATTCGATATTGAAAGGTATGGTTATTCTTGAAATTTAGAATTTGTGGTAGTGGCTACGTTTTGTTTAAAAGAAAATTTGAGGCATGTATGTTGTTTTGGAGATGAAAAGGAGTAAAATGGATGAAAGATATAAGGAGGAGAAGATGTATTTATGCTGTTGGGAGAAATAGGGAACGGAACATCCACAACACACACAAATTTGATAAATAATAATAATAATAATAATAATAATAATAATAATAATAATAATAATAATAATAAAATAAGAATGTATGGTGGTTGTGTGTATTTTTTTTTTTCCGAAACGTTACATCATTATATAGCACTGAATGTACAAAAGATACAACCCGGGATCCAACTGGAGCCAATACAAGAGAGACACCAAACATGAAGGTGCTCTAGATAAAAGCCAACCTAGTAGAGAAAAGAAATCACAAGATGACCTCAAAGCACATGCTAAGGCCAAATAAAAATTTGTAACCCTTAACATTGCAATGAACCCATCCATACAGACATAATCAACACAGTACAGCCAACACAAATCAAACAGAATGAACATCAACTAGCAAACCAAACAACAACATAAATTAGAAAAAGGGCAGCAACATCAACAACCCCACACCAATTTCCAGCCTGCTTGAACAGAAGCACCCACTGAACCAAAGAACCTAGGCACACTTCATGTCCTCACAGTCAGATTTTCTTCCTCTTAGCAAATTCTTGCCAATCATTCCCTGCAAGCTTCATTATGCAAGGTGCTGGCAGCCATTCCTTCTTAAAGAGCTAGAGGTTTCTGGCTTTCCAAAGCCACCACAAAATATATGTGGTGAGCTCTATTCTAGCCTCAAAAACCTCGAGCTTGTTTACAGAGCACACATCATGCCACCATATCCTGAACTTTGTTGAATTGTCAGTGGCAATATCCCAATGAACTTTGTGTAACTAGCATGTGATTGTGGGGTTTGTCTTGGAAAAATAGTGTAGATGACAATAATATTTATTGCATGCATTGATGGTTGGGTGATATCATTTGGCAAAAAATAAAAACGCAAAAGTCAAAACATCAATCATGACATTTTAATATTATACAAATAATCATACTAGTCATTAGATTTTGTTAAATTTACAAAATAGTGATTATTGAAATAAACTTATTTCACTTTGGATTATTCTATTTAATGAGAGCTTCGATTCAAGACCAATATTGATATGATTCATTAAATTATATTAATGTGTATTGTTATTATGAAATACTTGAAATTTGTTATTGTGGACATGTGGATATTTATGGATTGACCCATGTGATATGAAAATAAATATGTGTGGCTACATAGACCGGCTAGTGCGGCTCTGCCGCAGGCACGAAATATTTAATGGTAGCCTACGGGTCAACTGTAGAAATATGAAAAATCATGTGAAATGGCCGATCAATGTATCCACTGAAATAGACAATACAAAAGAAGATTTGATCAACTAAGTGAACCGGTCAGTGTATTGAATAATGATGACCGATGATGACCAGATGACAAGTGTATTGAATAATGATGACCGTTGATGGCCAAATGATAAGCGTATTTATTAATGATAACCGGTGATATAGAATAGCCAGGTGGAAACGCCACGTGCAACAAATGAATGGCTATACATATACATGGGTCGACCAGTGCGGCTCTGCCGCCGGCGACAGACAGTACTAATTAAGCGATAGCCGATGAGCGAAATGAATAATACTTTGTATCTGGCCATATGAAATGTTGATTAAAGTCATGATTGTGAACGGACATGATATGGAGTTGCATGTTTCTGAAAAACAGTTGATAAATTCTCCATGATTTATTAATGAAGAAACGAAAATTGATGAAGTAGTACCGAAAGTTACTACATAATGATTAAATGATATTGTGGTATAGTGGTACTAGAAGCTACCACGTTATGATTAAAATAATAAAGTGGAACCAGAAGCGACCATTGGATGATTGAACAAAATGAGAAAATTGTACCAAAAGTTACCAGTTATGGGTGATCACACAAAATGATTTCTCAATATATATTAAATGAGTCTAAGGGACTATATCAGATCGTCTTGAGATACGAGATCATACAGATATTACAATAAAAATGATTGTATTCATGAAGTACTACACACTTATCTTGAGGAAAAGCAAAATTGATATTATTATTACTGAGGAACAAGTACAGAATGTTCAAATGATGGAAATATGGAGAAGATGCAGTAAATACTCGATGAATACAAAATACGCAAAGATTTACATAATAGAACCCATAAAAGAAGGGTGCGTCTCGAGAGTATAAAACTCCGTAACTCTGCCACCCATGAATGATATCTGGGTTATAATGAGAGATCTAAAGGTTCAAAAGCTCTTTTTCGCTTGACCCCTTGTGCTTCCACAGAATCTTGAAATATGATGCATTCTTGAAGCTTTTTGATAAGTTCAGCAGACGTGTCAGCAAATTTGAATACTTTTCTCATTGAAGGAGATATAAAGGTTTGATATACTCCTATGCCTAAAAATCTAAGCAAACCATGAAAGAAGTTATTAAAATTCAATAGACCTATGGGCTTGTTATGAAGTTTCAATTCCGCCCAAGAAGCAATGGTAAACATTGTCATTAGCGTTCCATAACCACCTGGGAGAATGATAAAAGCATCACTATTGTTTACCATATCCATCATATAATCATAAATGGAATGAGTTAGCATCATGCTTGTATAATCCTTGACGACTCTGGTTGAAGCTCTACGAAAAGGTATGATGCTTTTCACTTCTATCTCAAAACATTGTCCAACCATTAAGAGACTATCATAGAAAGTATTGCTAGTCCCTCCATACAGCAAATTGATTTTTTGATTCCCCATCTTTTTTACTAACAGACTTACAATATCAATAGTTTGAGAAAAACTTACCAGTTTAGAACCACCAAGAACACATATGGTTTTGATCGGTTGAAGAAAATTATTACCTTGCGAAGACTCTGAAACATCCATCTATTTGTTGATAAACTGAATTTTTTAAAACTTTGTGGTGCATATGATTATGATGAACGACTCGCTATTTAAATCGAAAAGCTTTTCAAAACGATAAATAATTTTACTGTTTTATTCTAACAATTGCAATTGACAGATAAGGTGCTGGGTTTTAAATAAATCTTATCTGTCGGTGGCTATAAGATTTTTTGCAAAATTACAGTGCAACATACTAAACTGTATTATTATGATTTTTCGTACCAACAAGACTAGTTCTACAAACTTGATCTTTTGAAATTATATTTTCGAGACTATAATGTTCTTCTTCACTTTTGAACTGAGTCTATAAGGACATAAGCTCACGATGCACATACCCACTAGGATGTGTCTCAAGAATCTGTTGAATTGTTTCATCCTGAGACTCCTTACTCAATCCATCCTTTATAAATGTTATTTTATCTTCTCGATTTTTGGACACGTACCCCACAGATTTACATCGTGTGTCACAAGTCCATCGAGCGCATTTGAAGAATCCACCTAACTTCGTTTCTTTGCAAAAGTACTCTTACCCATACCTGGCATATATTTATATGAATTTGGAAACTCTCCAGACAATCGAACTTGTGCTTCGATCAACCATCGAACATCATTTGGAATACCATTATTCATTAGCACCCTCAATCTTTCTAGTCGAGATAGATAAATTCTTTTCATGATATTTTTCGGAAGAAAGGAATAATATTTACGGATATTTGAGAGTACTAAATTCATTTGTAATTTTGGACTTTTGTTAAGGAAAATTGAATGAATTACCTGATAATTTATAAAAAAAAAACATGATGCGTATGCGATACGACTCTGGAGTTAAACAGTGTTCAAAAGTAACTGTGTCAGACGACATGATACGATTCTGGATTTAAACAATGGCTAAAAGATATTGTGTCAGAGCCTACACTTAAAGTGCATTTATTGCCGCCGAAAGATGATGTGAAATGTTTGTGATAAATGTGTCGCAACGAATTATTGTGATCACTTTAAAAATGTTTACCGATATTATTGATGATGGTTTGCATGATGAACTTATTCTTTGTGATATGAGATGCTTGTTCTCGATTGGTGAAAAATATTACTAGCTAAATATTTGTGAATCGATATCTGATCAATCTGAGTATGAAAGGGGTACGATATATATGGGCCCACTATCCCTCCATGTGTGCTACTAGATATTATGGATCCACTAGATAGCCACATGTGTGTGATTCGTAACCTGAAGTTACGAGATGGTTTGATTAAATGATGAACATATGACACGTAACCTGAAGTTACGAGATGATTTGATCAAAGAATGTGTATATGACACGTAAGTTGAAGTTACGAGATGGTTTGATCAAAAGAATGACACAAGATGATTATGAAAGAATGAAAATAAGTGTCATATGAAAGTGATAAAGCTAGTATTATACTCAGCTAATATGATGAACTCTTCAAAGAAAAATGTGCACATTGCAAGTGATATGAGTTCAAAGTCATCCTATTATATGTTGAAATCGAGAACGAAATGGAGATTATATGAACTCCCTTCATGAAACTCAATACTGAAAATACAGACCAGGGATCTGTTAAGATGAGAGGGAGAATCAATGATTGAAATTTGTATATATGCATCACACTGAGAGTGTAAAAATCATAAACTGAATGATACTGATGATGGTGAAATATATGAAATGATATGATGGTGGAATAATAGACTGGAAGCGTTGTTATTGTGCAAATTGAAATTCCCCAAATAAGTGATGGAAGTAGGCATGTATATATTGTTGATGTAAAGTATGATAATGAGATATCTTAATATATTTCAGGGAATAATGGAAATGAATAAGTGTCGACACAAACAAATGAATAGCGTTATATAAATGATATTGACGAGAATGAAATCAGCTGAAATGTGAATACTGGGAACTATAGTAAAACCA